TTACCTGAGATCATCTCATTTATGCTCTTTAACTTCACTTACTTTTATTATCTCTTGACTCCTGAAATCAAGAGACACTGCTCTTTAGAGGAAGAAACTGGCAGCAGCTTGAGGCATTAGGAATCACAGAAGCCCAGAAAGATTAACATATAGGCCATCACACCAATGGCTGGATAGGGGAGATTGTTGTTGAATGGAGTGGGTGGGAGTAGATGTAAATTCTGGTGGAACAGAGAAAGGGGTGGCTCAAAACACACCTGGCAGGGGTGGGGACAACACAGAATCTGCTGGGTTTTTTCTACTACTGGAAAGTATCTTTAATCTGCTCTTCTCTGTAAAATGCTTGTCTGTCAGATAATGTTCTAAATCTGAGCAATCAAATTAAGACAGACTAGGAAGAAAGATTAGCCATCCACTTCCAAAATAGCAGGCCTTTGAAAACCCTATGTACAATAGAGCACACTTAGACTAGCAGACATGGCAATTGAGGCTTAGCCCTCAAGTATGGAAACAAATAGGAGGAACAGCTGTAAGCAGACACTAGTGATTGGAACACGGAATGTAAGAAACATGAATGTAGGAAAATTGGATATTGTTAAGAAGGAAATTGAACGCATAAATATTAACATACTAGCTATTGGCAAAATGAGATGGACTGGCATGAGACATTTTGAGTCAGAGGATCATATGATCTGCTATCCTGGAGACGAAAAGGTGAGGGAAAATGGGGTTGCTTTCATAGTTTAATAAGTCATTTCTAAATAAATGAAATCCAAAATCTCTGTAAGTGTTCATTAAAATTAATAAAATAAAATTTACCCAAAAAAAGTCATTGCTAGATCTGACTTGAAATACAATGTTGTGAGTGACAGGATGATATCCATACACATACAAGGAAGTCCAGTGAATACCACCATCATTCAAATATATGCACCAACAACCAGAGCCAAAGAAGAGGAAATAGAAGATTTCTACCAACTTTTGCAGTCAGAGATTGATCGAACATGCAATCAAGATGCATTAATAATGATGGGTGACTGGAATGCAAAAGTTGGAAATAGAGTAGAAGGGTCAGCAGTTGGAAACATGGACTTGATGACAGAAATGAAGCTGGAGATAGACTGATAGAATTTTGCACTATCAATGACTTAATTCATTGCAAATACATTTTATAAGAAACACAAATGCAGGCTTTGCCCATGGATTTCACCTGATGGTATGCAAAGGAATCAGATCAATTACATCTGTGGAAAGAATCGCTAGAGAAGCTCAATATCAGATGTGAAAACTAGGCCAGGTGCTGATTGTGGAACAGACCACCAATTCACATGCAAGTTCAAGCTGAAGCTGAGGAAAATTAAATCAAGTCAACGGCAAACAAAATTTGATGTTGGGTCTATCCCATCTGAATTTCAAAACTATCTCAGAAACAGGTTTGAGGCCTTGAACATTAATGAGCGAAAACCAGATGAGATGTGGGAAGATATCAAGAATATCATCCAGGAAGAATGCAAAAGGTCATTACAAAGACAGAGGAGGAAGAAAAGACCAAGATGGATGTCAGAAGAAATTCTAAATATTGCACGGGAGAGCTGAGAAGCCAAAGGATAGGGAAGAAATCGAGTTATTAAGGAGTTGAACAGAAGATTCCAGAGGACAGTGCAAGAAGACAAAAGTATTATAATGAAATGTACAAGGAGCTGGAGTCAGAAAACCAAAAGGACCAAACTTGCTCAGCATTTCTTGAGCTCAAGGAACTGAAGAACAAATTCAAACCTTGAGTTCCAATACTTAAGGAAGCTTTGGGCAAAATAGTATATGATCCAGTAAGCATTAAAAGAAGATGAAAAGGGTATACAGAGGCATTGAACCAAAAGGAATTGGTAGACACAGGAGAATTTCATGAAACAACATATGAGCAAGAGCCTGTGGTGATGAAGGAAGAAGTTCAAGCTGCTCTGGAAGAATTGGCAAAAAACAAGGCCCAAGGAATTGATGGCATGCCAACTGACATATTTCAACAAACAGATGCTTCCCTGGATGTGCTTACCAAATGTGCCAAGAAATCTGGAGGACAACCATCTGGCCTACTGACTGGAAGAGATCTATATTTGTTCCCATTCCTAAGAAAGGCGATCCAACAGAGTGTGAAAATTATCGAACAATATCACTGATATCACATGCAAGCAAGATTCTGCAGAAGATTATTCAAAAACAACTGGAACATCAACAGAACTGTCTGAAGTGCAGGCTGGATTTAGAAGGGGCTGTGGCACTTGGAATATTACAGCTAATGTCAGATGGATCTTGGCTGAAAGCACAGAGTACCAGAGGAATATTTATCTGTGTTTCATTGACTATGCAAAGGCATTTGATTGTGTGGATCACAATAAACTGTGGTTGACTCTGAGAAGAATGGGAATCCCAGAACACTTGATTGTGTTTATGCAAAACTTATACTTGGACCAGAAGGCAGTTGTCAGAACAGAGTAAGGAAACACTGCATGATTCAAAATTGGGAATGATGTGCTTCAAGGATGTATCCTATCTCCATATCTTTTCAATCTATATGCAGAACAGATTATCTGGGAGGCTGGGCTCAATGAAAAGTATGGCATCAGGATTGGAGGTAGACTCATCAACAATCTGCATTATTCAGATGACACAACCCTGCTTGCTGAAACTGAGGAGACCCTGAAACACTTGCTGTGGAGGGTCAAGGACTGCAGCCTTCAATATGGATTGAAGCTCAACATCAAGGAAACAAAGATTCTCACCAATGGGCTGATTGGCAACATGATGATGGATGATGAAGAGATTGAGATTGTTGGCCACTTCAGTTTGCTTGGCGCTACAATCAACATTCTTGGTCCCGGTTGCCAAGAAATTAAAAGACGAATTGCATAGGGAAAGTCTGCTGTCAGAGACCTGTCCAAGGTACTGAGGAGCAATGATGTCAGTCTGGAGACTAAAAGGTGCCTGATAGAGGCCATGGTCTTTGCAATTACTTGCTATGCATCAGAGAGCTGGACAATGACTAGGGATGATAGAAGGAGAGTTGATGCCTTTGAGCTATGGTGCTGGAAAGGAGTATTGAATATACCATGGACTGCTAGGAAAATAAGCAAGTTTGTCCTGGAAAGGGTAAAGCCAGGCTTCTCCTTGGAGACAAAGATTCTGAAGCTATGTCTGACATACTTTGGACATGTTGCAAGGAGAGATCAGTCCTTGGAGAAGGATGTCATGCTTGGGAGGGTGGAGGGACAGCACAAGAGAGAAAGACCCTCTATGAGATGGGTTGAGTCTGTCACTGAGGTAATGGGAATAGGCATGTCAGAGTCAATAAGACTGGCAAGGGATAGTAGAGCAGGGTTTAGGGCTGTTGTACATAGGGTTGCTATGAGTTGCAAGAGACTCAATGGCACATATCAACAACAACATACAACACTATAAGATTCCAGTCCTTGGGAAATGGCATCATGCTGAGAGGAGTGGAAGATCAGAGAAGAAAAGAAGATACTTAACATGATGGATTGATACGGTGCTCAGATTGTGAGGATGGTGTAGGATAGCGCAAAGGTTAGAGCTGTTCATAGAATTGCTGTAGAGCTCTGTTGGCCTTGTGGGTAGAAAATTATGTTAACAAGCCAAAGGTGTATGATTTTAATCTGCTGCTCTCAGGCCTGGTTTTAATTGTTTTGGGTCAAACATTCTTCTAAGTGGTATAGCACTGGTCTGTCCATTTGCTGTACAGAGGTAACTTGTGGTTGCTGTGATGCTAAACACTGTGACACCGATGTGTCAAATGTGATAATGGTTACCCATGGTGGGCAGTATTTGGTGGAGATCCCAGATTAAAATAGGCTTGGAAGCAGGAGTGACATCCACTTCCAAAATAGATTGCCTCCGGAAACTCTATGAATGTAGGAGAAACAATGAAAGTTAAACAAGTGTTCAGGTCTTTCGTTCATAGGGTTACTATAGGCTTGTTCTTTTTATTAGCATATCTTTTGATGAGCTTTCATTTTCTTTGGGGATATCAATTGCCACCTTATTATCTTTTCTCTTTTAATAATTTTATATTGGAGTTTACCTTAATAAGCTTGTTATGTTTTTGTGTGTGAAATCAGTTTTTCTGAAAAATCAGTTTTTCTGAAAGAACCCTTACTTCTTTCTTGTGTATAAAAATTAGAGGATTTTCAAGACTTCCTAGTTCTGTACTCCTCTTTCAATTTTATTTTACCTGGATTTCCTCTTCCTTTCTCTGTTTCTATTTTGCTCATTTTTTTGTTTCACTTCCAGTATTTTTCCTCTATGGGATCCTGTCCTTGAAGGGAGTGCTTCCTGGTTCTTTCTGAAAGTTCACCTGCTCTTGACTGTTTTAGGGTGCTCTGGTGGCTTAATGATAATGAGCTGTACTGCCAACCCAAAGGCAAGCAGTTCAAATACACCAGCTACTCCATGGAAGAATGGGAAATCTCCTCCTGTGCATTTACAGCCTGTGAAAGCTCACCAGAGGGTCAGCTACAAATTGATTCCAACTCTATGGCACACAACAGATTGTAGCCCAGACAGATTAGCAGGAGGTGTTCCTCTGGCATTGTTATAGGTAGCAGTACTCCTGATGCCCCCTCCTGTTCTCATGTCAGCCCGCTATCCTTCCCAGTGATTCCCTCTTCTGAACAGAAGCCGATAAAGACGGGTTTTCTAGCACCCAATGAGGATGCCTTGCTAGCTAGTTTTGGTATAAACACTATACGTAGGTTTTGGCTTTACTATCCAGTTGTTGCTTTTAAAAGGAGACACAAAGATTAAAAATCCATGTCACTGATGCTGTTACTACACTCACACATATGTAAGAACATTTAGAAGGTACTTAGATATTTTTTTCTCTTTTCTACAGAAAATGTTCTTGAAACAAAATGCCTTAAACATCATCTATTATTATGAACATTAAAACAGCAGAACTAGAAGAAATTGAGACCATTTTGTCTGCTTACCTCAAAAAATAGGAACAACCTGTATCTTACTTCATAAACGGTCCAAAAAACCACAAGAAAGCCATTCAATGAGATCATGGTGATCATAACCATCTTAAAGGGATGACTGTTTAGAAAGTTCTGCACAAAAGCCTGAAACTCAGTATCTTTTCTCCTGTTAAAATTGGAACAAGAGTTATGGTTACCTTACAACAGAGTTAAATATACACACAATGTATACTTTTTTTGTAAGCAATGAGGTTTGTTTTCCTCCTTCAATGAATATAGACTTATGTGTATTTTAAAAATAGCAAAGAAATGTTTATTAATTTACCACCAAAATCAATGGTCATTGATGGGCTGTCCCTGCTCAGTTCTACCTCCTAAACTGCTAAAAAAAAGAAAGAAATGGCCATCGCTCCTTCCCAGGGGGAGGAGGGAAATAATTTTAATTTACTCATACAACAAATTTTATTGAGTGAATATTCTGCCAGGCAATAGAGCAGGTGCTAGAGATACAGTGTGAGGAAAACTAAATAAAAGTAGCATCCACTTCCTAAATAACATGTCTCTAGAAACTCTATGAACTTTGATAAATGTCGATAGTTGTAGAGGGGTTTCAAGCCTTTTGTTCCTAGGGTCGCTATGAGTCATGCTTGACTTGAAGGCAATCAACAACAACAACAGAGAGAAATAAGGAAATTGACAAAATGACTGCAAAGATGAGCTTGAGTGTAATGGAGATTGTAAACATGCTGTAGGACAGGGCAAGGTTCATAGGGTCGCTATGAGTTGTATTTTATTCAAGGACACCAACAACCACCACAGCGTGAGAAATGCTGATACTAATTAAATAATCACCCATACAGACTCTTAGGGAGCCCTGTGCCCTAGAGGCAAGAAACTATGCTGCGGTCCTAAAGGAACGTGGTTCAAATCCACCAGGTACCCCAAGGGAGAGGGATGGGCAATCTCATCCCCTGCAATTTATTGCCTCTGAAAATCCACAGCTCACAACAACACAAGCTCTTACAAATCAATGATAGAAACCCTGAATATGGTAGGAGAAAAACAGGCAAATAGTTTAGTCATGAAAGAGACACAAATGGCAAAAAATTTTTAAGAAAAAGCTTCATAGCACCCTTAATCAAGGAGTCACAGATTAAATAAAACCATTCTGTAGCATGTTTTGAAGGGGGCGTTGGTGGCCTAGTGGCAAGAAGTTGCACTGCAATCCCGAAGGCACAGGATTCAAGACACCAACCGCGCCATGGGAGAAAGATGGACAATCTCTTCCCATGTGATTAACTGCCTCTGAAAACCTGCCAGAAGGCCGTTGGTTCCGACTCTATGGTACACAGAAACAGCACGTTGTGCTGCTAATCAAAGCAGTACTGATTGCATGCCTTTCAACTGCACCATCTCCACTACTGGTTCTACAGGACAAAGAGGAACAGTCTTCTCTAATTAGGATTTACAGCCTCAGAAATCCAACAGGGAGGCACTACGATTTGGAAGCAAAGCCACAGCAGTGAGATAATTTTTACTTAAAAACTAGCAAATATTTACACAATAGTGCTGACAAGAAAACGGAGACATTCTTATAAATTCTAATTGTAAAACTCCCCACAGATTTGCTGAAAAGCTCCTAAACTGTTCAGATCCTCTGACTAGAAATTTCCCTTCTAAGAAGTTATGGCAAGAGAATACAATTGATATGTAAATAGTGACATTAGCCCAAGATGTTTATCCCAGCACTGTTAATAATAGAAGACATCTGAAAACAATTTAAAAGTCTAGTGAAAAGGACAGGTTAAGTAAATTATGGCATAATCATATCGTAGAATATTATACAAATACTAAAATATGTCTTGCTCAGGCCTTTCGTTTATAGGGTCGCTATGAGTCTCTACGACCCAATGGCACCAAACAACAAAATATGTCTATGCACTTTGATTATTTAGAAAAATGCTTATGCTCTACCTGGAGAAAAATTATTAAAAATGTAAAATAAAATACAACTAATTCTCTACTCAAAATTATTTCAACTGGGAAAAACTGGAAAGAAAAAGAAAATATTGGGACAAAATATGACAAAGTATCAGCTAATATCTTTATTTTGGATAGTGAAAGTGATTAATTTTTTCTGTGGGTTTGCATATAAAAATTGTATACATTGTTTTATACTTTATTTTATATTTGTATACATTGTTTTATACTTTATTTTATATTTTGTTTCATATAATCATTCTCATTTATTATGTTCTATAATAAACTTAATCCCCATTAAATTATTCCCACCATTACTCCATCTTTCCAGATCTCCCAAGGATCTTTCTCATTTCCTTTACCCCGCCCTCCACCCACCAAATTGTGCAACCTTATGATCTCTCTACTTCCCATTCTCATCCCTCTACTCTCATCCCTTCCCTCCTTGGATCCCCATACACTTTTTTATTAGTTACCCTTCTATTTTTACAGTAATGATCCTATGCAGTATTCATCCTTATGAGACTGGATTTGTTCACTCTGCATAATGTTCTCTAGTCTTTCTCAAGTTATGTAGTAATGTTAGAAATTGTTGCTCCTGAGTGCTGGGTCATATTCCATTGTGTGAATGTATCACAATTTCTCAATTCATTCAATTGTGGTTGATCATTTGGGCTGTTTCCACATTCTTGCTACTGTGCATAATGCTGCTATGAATGTTGGTGTACAAATCTCCATTTGTGTCTCAGTTCTAATTCTCTGGGTATAGATTCCTAGCAATGGAATAGCTAGATCTTATGGAATTTCTATGTTCAGCTTTTTGAGGAAAAGCCAAGCTGCCCTCAAGAGCGGCTGTACCATTTTACAATCCCACCAACAGCATATAAGAGTTGCAAGCTCTCCACATCCTCTCCAACATTTATTGCTTGCAGTCCTGTTAAACTTTGCCATTCACTAGGGTGAGATATCTCATTGTGAGTTTTTTATTTGCATCTCTCTTATTGCCAGTGATTTTGAGCATTTCTTCATGTATCTGTTGAACATCCTAATGTCTTCCTCTGTTAAAAGTCTTTCCATGTCTTTTGCCCATTTTTTAATTGAGTTATGAGTCTTTTTCTTGTAGAGTCTCTGTAGTATAAAGGGGATTAATTTCATAAAACACAATGAAAAGGAATGTATGGAACATAATGTGAGTTAAGGGTAGTGTGAAACACAATGTATATGAACTTCGTATCCAAACCAAAACAAAAGAAAAAAATTTTTAAAAAGTTTACAGCCTCAGGAACCAGATGGAGGATCAAAACTGTAGGGCAGTGGGTTCAGTGAGTATGCCCTGATTATAATCCCGTCTGGGAATGAGGGATCTCTGTTACTTTCATGAGGCAATACTGGTTCAGAATACAGTGTATTTTAAACCACTCTCTTGAGCTCCAAAGGCCTTGTGAGTAGGGTGTTACATTCCTAATCCAAAAGTGGGGTCTCTTTGATGGTTGGAATCTACCAATGGCTTTTCAAAACCAAGATGGAAAATTTCCTCCTGTATTTTCCAATCTCTGCAAGCCTATGAGTTGGTTCCAAGTCGATGGCAATGAAGATAGTAAAGTCTTTAAATCTAAGGACTGTAGTCCTCAATATGGAATGAAGCTCAACATCAAGAAAACAAAGATTCTCACCACTGGGCCAATTGGCAGCTACATGATGGATGAAAAAAAGATTGAGATTGTTGGTAACTTCAGCTCACTGGGCTCCACCATCAACACTTTTGGCACCAGCTGTCAGGAAATCAAAAGATGAATTGCACTGGGAAAGTCTGCTGTAAGGGACCTCTCTAAAGTACTGAAGAGTAATGATGTCAGTCTGGAAACTAAGGTGCACCTGATCCAGGCCATAGTCTTCACATTCACTTGCTATGCATCCAAGAGCTGAACAATAATTAAGGATGATAGAAGAAAGATTGATGTCTTTGAGTTGTGGTGCTGGAGGAAAGTACTGAACATATCATAAACTGCCAGAAGAACAAACAGGTCTATTCTGGAGAGGGTGAAAACAGTCTGCTCCTTGAAGGCAAGGATTTTGAGGCTCCATATCATATACTTTCTGATCAGTCCTTGGAGAAGGACATCATGCTTGGAGGGTGGAAGGTCAGTGCAGTAGGGAAAGACCCAGGATGAGATGGATTGACTCAGTGACTGGAGAAATGGGATTAGGTCCATCAGAGATGATAAGTTTGGCTCAGGATAGGGCACAGTTCAGAGCTAATGTGCATAGGGTTGCTATGAGTCGCAATCAACTCAATGGCATATAAGAACAACAATATAAGAAGAGATGCTGTAAGAGAGGGAGCTCTGATGGCCTAGTGGTAAGAAACTGTGCTGCAGTCCCAAAGGCATAAGGTTTGAATCCACCAGCTACTCCATGCCCTCTGGAGGGTTAGCTATGAGTTGGTTCTGACTCGACAGTATACAAAAACAACCTAGAAGGGAGAGGGTAAGACAGATGCCAAGGTAAATGGAGATCTTCTGGAGATCTTCAAGGTAGAGATCTCCTCCTCTATATCCAACAGAGAGAAAAAGCTTCTCTAGCCAGCACTCTGAATTCCGATTTCCATCCTCCTAAAAGGAAGCTATGGTGCCTAGTATGATAAGAAGCTGTGCTAAAAATCCAAAGTCATGCAGTTCGAATCCACCAGCTACTCTAGGGGAGAAGGAAGGACTATATCATACTACAGTGTGATTTGTTGTCTCTGAAAACCTGCCAGAGACTCAGCTACGAGTCAGTCCCAACCCAATGGCACATGACAATAGTAATCCTCCTAAATGATAAGAAAATAAATTTCTCTTTATTAAAGCCACCCATTTGGGGTATTTCTGTTAAAGTAATATTAGATAACGAAGACATCCAGTCAGTAATACTAAGCCTAAGAAAGAAAATGTTTGGCTCAGTCCTCACTCATCATAGAAACCAGATTTTCCAGGACTCAACTTGTGAGCCGGACGAGCACCCACAGAGGCCCAGGGAGCACTGATATCCACGGCACCCTTAGCACATTTATTAGCAAGCAGTAGAGATGGAGTATGACCTACCTGAGTTTCTTAATTCGTTGATATATGGTAGTCTTAGAATCAAACAGATAAATAGATAAGCTTCTCAATCGGCTCAAAGTCTGAGACATTTTTCAGATTCTCA